ATGTAAAAGAACGAGAGCCAGAGGGCTAAATTAACTAATAAGTTTTCTAGTTAGCCCCCTGTTATTTAGTGTTACATTGGTTGTTACAGGCAAGGTTGATGTTGCGGTTTAGTTTTGTCATCACCCTCCAGCTTTCAACTGAGTCGGCAATAGTGACGAATTSTAGTTGTTTACTTTCAGTATAACCGCCTCAAACCTCCCTATAAATCAAAATGTGGCAGCAAAAAACTAGAGACGTCCAAGGTATACAGTCTAAGTACCTGTCTACTTGAATGCAGCACACGAAAAGTCGTCAAAAAATGCGGCTGCAAACTGTTTGGAATGGCGAACCTTACAGGTGAGACGATTCAAGTGATGCTCAACATTCAGTGGAACCATAAGTGTACTGATCATTCTCACCCATTCACATAGTGAGATTCAAAAGATAAAAGACCGGCGGCCATGTTGGAGGATGAATAATAGATACTAATGAGAAATTCTTTCTTCAAGTTCCTCCAATATGGCCGCTGTTACGTAACGTAGAAACGAATACTGTGTCAAGCATGCATGAAATCACCAGTTTGCTTTTCCAACCAATATGCTTGATTTCCAAAGAGGGYGAGTTTATCACGTTGACAAATGTTTTATGATTTTTAAAACAGAATTCAGCCAAATAAAATACTGCAACCCAGACGAAATGATTTCATGTGGAGTATACACCATGACCAAGAAAAAATACCTGAGGACCCTGAGCAGCATTTTGTCAACATTGACGTTTGGTGAGTGATAAGGCGGTCTTTGCTATTCTTTAAGTGAGATGCGGGCAAACATTTCTTCGAATTCACCGCACTTGAATCAGTAAAATGAGGAGGAAGATTGGTCGAAAAGATTACTATAATATTTCTACTACTAATATTTCTCTTCTACTAATTCTGAGGTTAGGGATTCCGGACAGAAAATAAGGTTTCTTTCATTTGCATTTTTTCTGAGCTGGCATCGCTTGAGTAAAGGTTTAAGAAATAATTGATGAATTTTGGTCAATATAATCTATCGTATTCTACAGGTTACCGCCTGCCCAACAATCCTCAAGAATGTGGCTGCCCTCGGCCATGTAAAGAGATCAAATACTCAACGCGAGTAAACGACGCCAACTTCCTTACCAGTGACGTGTTTCTCGATGACGTAGCAGATTCTATAAGTGCCATAACTAAATATGTTTCTAGAGTCTATTTAAAATTTCTTTTGGACAAGAAAAGGTTAAGCAATAGCCGACTTGCGAATTTCGTCTCAGTTGTCAAACACAAAAGAATCAAGATACACTGGAAGAAATCGCGCGCTTTTTAAAGGTTGTAAATTTGATGTAAATATGATGTAAGTGACCAAAATTCTGTAAATTTAATGGAAATCATTTACATCAAATTTACAACCTTTAAAGCGCGCGATTTTTTCCAGTGATAATATACAGCGAAAAACTATTGTCTTTTTTACGAATGTCTGAGCTTTATGCACCAAGCCTCGTCTTGATTCCTTTGTGTGTGACTACTGAGGCACAATTCGAAAGTCGGCAATAGTCTATGAGACTTTATGAGACTATAATCATGTGAGATGAACCATGCAATACTAGTGTGACTATCACTACTTATCAGTGCCCCGGGGGTACTCCCTAATATCAAAGGGCGGTGGTCCTTGACGTCCCCTTTAGGGTTTGAAATCGGTATTTTGGTCCCGCTTAGGGTGATAATGACGAGAATTCCCACCAACTGARGTTTCTGATCCCTTTTAGGGTATAGGACGACCCTAAGCCGTCATAAAATGGCAACGTTGTCATTAAATCAATACGAGCCGACGGTATTCGATGATTGTGTAAAAACACAAATAAAATCGGGAAACCAAAACAAAATGATCACGCCCATCATCTCACATTATACAACTTTTCAGTAAAATCAGACGTTTTGATTGGTTGGCTTTCATGTGTTATCAAAGTTTATACAACTTTTCAGTAAAATCAGACGTTTTGATTGGTTGGCTTTCGTGTGTTATCAAAGTATAGATACACGGAGTACGTCAAAACTAATTGTTTGTTGTATAAAACAGATAGATCTCATTTTTCCGTGCGTGTGTACTCTAATAGATACACAGATGACGTCAAAATGTAGTGAGAACAACAGTCACGCACTCGACTGCCTCTCGTGCGTACTTTTTTGTTCTCACTACATTTTGACGTCATCTGTGTGTCTATTAGAGTACACACGCACGGAAAAATGAGATCTATTTGTTAAATAGAGGTCCCTTTTAGGGGTCATTTTCAGAATTTCCGACGTGGACCCCCGCCCTTTGATATTAGGGATCCCCCCTGGGTATCAGTGTCATGGCCGGATTCTTCTTACCAGTAACGTGTTTCTCGACGATAAAACATAAAACGCACGACCTTGAGTACAGTTTGGAATTAATAGTCACGAGTAATGTTCTTGAAGTTCTTCGTAATCACGAGCCCGCGATATCTAGATTGTTAAATCTTGTGGGACGTTTTATCGGAGTTGTTTTTTTCAGGGATACCGTGATTCACTTAAGCGTTCATTATGAGGACCTGAATAGATACATTACAACCGAAAGACCATCTTATGATATCAACCTGTTTGGTGGTAAGTGAGCTTAAGTGGTGCTAGTCTAATTGCATTACGCAGGTCTCTGTCCAACATAGATAATGATATAGTGTGTTATAAGGAAAACACAGTAAGACAAGCTTGTAATCTGGTAACATATGCATGCCTTGGTTATGCGACAATGATCATCAATACATCATTACTTGAGAAAAGAAACTTAAAAACAGCTTGCCGTTTTAGGGACTGCGCAATAATTATCAGGAGAAATGAGTGAAAAGAGCAGAAAAGTTATTAATGTCCCCCCTAACACTTGCAAAAGCCATGCCCCCCTCCSATCATAACTGGAAAATTAGACTTCTCCCCATTTCCAAATTTTGTGTTACTAATAATGACAAATCAAATTAATAATAATTATAACTATTATATGTCTTTTTTCCCAGCGGATGTTGGCGGTTACATTGGTTTGTTCTTGGGATGCAGTGTTATTACCATTTTTGAGTTCATCGATCTTATCATTGTTTGTTGTCTTGGAAGATGTCTACAGGCCAAAACGAAGGAACGCAATACAAATGATGATGAAGAACAACATGATGAAACTCATTTAAATGAGATGTAATTAGTTATATGTAACCATATCTAGATATTCATTGAAAAAATCATTAACTTAAATGATCAAAATTATTCATGAGCTTAATTGACTGATTGACAATTTGATTGAATGATGAACTGACTGATTATTTAAAACTAAGTTAACTTTATAATAACCACATTTCTTAGTACGTAATTTCGAGAATGTGCAACATTAAAGCTTAATACAGCTAAACAGCTAAACAGGATAATTTTCACCGTTTCAGTTTGTCAGATACCTTCGTTCCAGTTATAGAGTGTTATATTCTCAGCCACATATTGAAGATACCAGCAATTAACAAGTAATTCTCCCTCTCGTCGTTCGGGTATCGGTCATTCTTTATAATCATAGTCAACTTTTTCTTCTTCCTTGCACCTTCATCATTTAGACGCCATCTTGGAACACAGGTAACCCAAGATTCTAGGGCTACTTTCAACCCACAGGAAATCCAATATCTGGGATGTGTTTCGAGCTTTTACACGCCCCTTAGAAGATATGACTTGACATGATTGTGACAGAATTGCACCATATCAAGTTGAGTTTTATAATGAAAAATGAAACTCTTGGTATGAAAATTTCTGATAATTTGACGAAGGGCCGGTTCACATTGTGACATAAGCAGAAACCGAAGCTTGTTAACACTTGACAGAAGCTTGTTCTTCTGCTTATGATGTCCCGGCTCACACTCAAAATCTTTCAACATAAGAAGAAACAGAAGTAGAAGAAAATGAAAAACGTTTTCATTTCATCTGCTTCAGTCTCTGCTTCTGCCTCCCGGTTCACACATACAAAATACACTTCTTCTGTTTCTGCTTATGTCACAGTGTGCATGAACCGGCCCTAAGTCATTTCACCATAACACAACGTCGGTGCGTCAAAGCCATTGAATCGCCTTAAATAATAAGTATTCCTCTCTGTTCTTAAATAGACATATATATTCAGTGGAGGCGCGGGCGGGCGGGCGAACACACATCCACTTAAAAAAAAAAGTTGCGTCGCCCTTAACATGTTATAAAATACAGCTTTTTTCCGTTAAATGTTTTCATATCTATTTGTTTTTAACAGCTAGGTTGTCAGGGCAACTAGTGACTGCTTACGTGTTCACCATCAATTGCTGGCAGCAGTCAAACAAAATACAAGACAAAATAGACCCCTTACAAGGAATACAAGTCCAACTGCAGAACATACATAAATATTAATAAAAACTGAGATAGAAAAATATGAGTCTTTTGCCAGCTCAAGTTTTTTTTCTTTTCGTTTTTGAACCGAGTTCCGATAATTATGGTGTCAAATCAGTAAAGTATCACTTCAAAAATATTCGCTAAGCAATTGATATGTTGAAAGACGAATTCTCCTAATTTAAGAGAAAAGATTAACTTTTTTAATTATATTTGTTCAAGACATCTTGAGGTTCTGTAGAAAAAACGGTCTCCTCGATGGCTTACTGTACACAAATATGAAAACATGAAGAGCATCGTATCATTAATTTTCACCCCCAAGTACGTCTGAATGAGATATTAGTATAGGTTTTTCAATAGATCACGTTTTAGAAAGTGTTTCAATTGGTTCCAATTGATTTAGCTATTTAACGTGAGATATAACCGATATAATCCCATGTTTAGGATGTCGAGATATTTTGTGCTTTACTCTCCTGCGGTGTTCATGACAGGCTGGTACTTGTGCATTTGCTAATGTCACCATCAAAGCAGTCAACATACTTGTACATAATATGTATAATGAAGGTTTTGTGGTCAACAAATGAGTAAATATACCTAGCAAATTAAAAGTAATATTCGCCGTTTTCTTCGCTTATAACCTTACCTCTTTATTTCCGTCATAAGCTAAAGGCTGCTTTAGAATGGGTCAAGTTCAAATTCATGCAATCATTCAATTATTGTTTAATGATCTAGTTTTGATACTTGTTTTTTTGGGACTGACTTGAATGTTTTGTGAAGTAGAGGGGGTATTGTGTTTGCGGTAGATATCGTTGCGGTTTCTATTAAAACTGGATCAAGTTAAAAGTGCTCTGGTGGTTATCATAGACATCCCTGTTAAGTCTTCTAGTCTCATTGCATCGCACATGCGCAATGAGATCCATTTTTTTTTACAACGCATTTCAAGTTTTACTATCATGATCTGTATTGGACCTTCCTTGTAAAGTGGTGACTAGAATAATACGTTCAATTCGCCATAGTCCTTTTGCACGGTGTGATTCATGATAAAAATGTTTTGAGAATGCTGGCAAAATGTCAAAGCGATATTCGTCTGAAGACTTTTTGCATCTGCAGTCCCTCGGAAAGATTTTTAGTTTGTGAAATGTTGAGATTCCTGGGAAAACTGAATTCTTATAGCCTTTTCCCCTGGAAAAATCTTTAAATCTTATAAGATTCCTGACAACAAGTATCTATCTGCAGTCTAAGACATTTCTTCCAGGAACTCGTTRGCTCGTAAAAAGGAACTTTTATTTTCGTGTGTATTTAATAATTTTGCTGTACTCTTCAGGAAAATACGACTGTAAATATTTTATATCTGTATTACACATTTTGTTGACGATTTCGGAGCATTGACATGACATGTCACTAACAAAAGTTAAATATGTCATGGTTGCTGGGCTACCGAGGAGCACTAGTGGCACGTCAAACAAAGCTGGTCGAGTTAACCAGTGCCGAGCCCCACAATTACTCGTCAGTAACTACAACGAGAGTCAGCAAGCAGGGAACCAAAACTGCTTTTAATCGAAAAGAACTAAAAAATATGTACAAAGTACCAAAATTGATTTTTTAAATTAATTACATCTAACCCATGGTGTGATTCAAAAAATTAGATACTTTTGAGGCGGTTGGACCTGCCGAGCCACAGGAATGCCATAAAGCGAGAGCGCAGTCGAGATTGGTCCGTAATATAACAAAACATYTMAATAGGAAGATTGGACTCTGCAAGAGTCACTGGAGGGAGCGTTTCATAATTATATTTTGATCAAGGATAATGAAAATACACAACACTTTTATGGAATAGAATCAGCTTGGAGTATTTATTGCACATTTSAGCAATATGTCTAGTGCGGAGAGGGAGGACTCAAGAAAACCAAGCTCAAAGAGTTATCTTCAAGATTTCTCTGGGTACTCAACCTTGCATGGATCATACTTTGTCCTSGGATCTGGTGGAATAATTCGTCGAGTTGTTTGGATGGTTTTAGTGTTAGCTGGCGTAGGTATTTGTACAAGTCAGTTGGTTGTGAGCTTTCGGCGGCTAAGAGCTTATGAACATATCGTTAGCAAGGACATTATTCCTGAAAGCAAGCTGACTTTTCCCGCCGTCACCATATGTAACATAAATATGATGAAGAGGTCTCGCATAAACGGTACAGAAGCGCAGGTCTTCATTGATAAGCTGAACCCGCTCAAAACTTCCAAAGAGCTTTCCAAAAAACAATTGAAAGATAGTTTTGATATTTCAAAAGCTGTCAAAGAGCACGGATACAAAGTTAAAGATTTGGTGAGAGTCTGTGTTTGGGACGGGCAGGATGGAAACTCATGCAGCCCCATTCATGACTTTACCACTAGATTTTCGTATCTTGTAAGTATAATGATAAAATTTAATACAGTCGAAATAACTTAATATATGGAGATTGATAAGATCAGACGCTGGAAACATTGACGGACATTGACGAAACGACTTCAAAATTGTATTGACGCAGTTTTTTTTTAATTTAAAAAACTTTAAAACACCATCAAACAGCGATTGATTTTTGTCCCAAATTCGCAGAATGAAGCTTTATTCTGCTTATTAATACGATGAGTAAAATGTTGGATTATATCACAGCAGACATAGATGGCTTAATTGTGTACAATCACTTGTCTCGCCTATGAGTTAAACGAAAGTTATGTATATTGATCTGAAACGCAGTCAAAACGGTTTCAATCGGCTAGTTTCCATTTTAGACTGTTTTTGTGAGGCAGATCAAAAATTCATGAATGCTCATGACCTTYATGATTATTCTATCAGAATTTTGTGGCGGCTAATTGCCAATGGGGCTACTGGCTTAAAAATGACTCTAACTTTTTTTTGTTTTGTTTTTGTGCCCGATGTTATGCCTCACCGAAGTACCTGTAATCTTACTAGGTCTCTATAGCAGGTTCATGTTTTGTAACCGCCTCAAGGCAATAAACATTCCTTGTTTATATTGATAAAAAATGATTACAATCACTAAAATGCTAAATTGATCGAACTTCATGAGAAGGATTATAAAAAAACGTTATAAGACGCAAAAATTCGCCAAGAAAAGAAAAAAGGACTCAAGAATCATAATCAGTCAGTTTTATTTTGTTTTGTTTTATTTTATTTTAGGACGAAAGACAACCCGACTAAGTAACACTAAGACTGAAACCCAGGAAATCATGGGGTTGATAACTAAGAACACTTTGACTAATATTCTTAAGAAGGGATGGCCGGAGAGCTATATCTCTTGATTTACTAAATAAATAAATAATAAATAAATATTTTGCACTCTATATACTGCAATACATGATAATTGGATAAAAACCTTGAGGAGGAATTTATATTTCATATCAATGTGCGTAGTCTTCAATAGCAGGCTAGGAGGTTTCGAGTTGGCGAAGGCCATGTAAGTTGACAGGAAGGAAGGAACTAATGCTCATTAATATCTCTAATAACGGCATGAAGGATAGATGTATCTGATTTCCCGCCAAGAGGTTAAAACTGAATACAACTACAGATAGTATTATGGATGTGCGCCACGCGACTAGACATTGTCCAAAGACTTGGACTCTTCGTCTTCCATGCAAGAAAATTCCGACGGACGTAGTAGACGATCATCAAAAGGAATGATTCTCAGCTCAAATAAGTCAGTTCGGCTTGGTCAATATAGAGAACTTTTTGATCTTTCTTTGGCTTCAGAGCTCGATGGCAATAGTGCGCGTATAACAAATTATCGAGAGACCGAGAAAGGAATGTAGAAAAAAGACGCTATTCCTAAGTGGTCGTAGTTATTTTTACCACACACTAGTGTGAATTTTTGAGCGCGCTGATTGGCTGATTAGACTATGTTAATAACAGGACAAGACGCACTGCGCTGACACCTCGTGCGTGCTACCAGTTGAACTATCTCTATTTTACGATGGTCTCGCCAAATGATAGGAATTACATTTTGAGTCGAAAGAAGGCAATTCATTACAGACAATTTATTCAAAAAACATTTTGGTAGATAAGGAAAACAAATTAAACCATTTATTTCAATGAAACTCTCTGTCGCCGTGATACTCGACCCCTGTTAGGTCGTCTATCCTGCGCGCTTCTCTAGGAAAGTCTTAGGTACTAACTGGGACTTGTAAATGAAAACACTGGTGTTATTTTCTTTGGCACTATGACCTGGAACCTTCTATACTGCCCTAATGATGACTTTTCTAATTAGCATACATTCCAAAAATAATTGTCCTATTTTATTTCGTAGTACGGTCAATGTCATACATTCAATTCAGGACAAGACGGRCACCCTCTTCTGTCATCCACTTCTAGCGAACGAGCCAATGGTCTGTTACTACTGATAGAGGTCAAAAAAGACGAGTATTATGGGTTAACAAGCTATTTTAACAGTGGTATTAGGGTAGTAGTTCACGATCAAAACGAACAGCCAAACATAGAGCGTGATGGGATTGATATCAAGACACGTTCAATGACAACCATCAAAATACAGCGTCATGAGGTAAATGTCTATTCTAACGGACTTTTGAGTAATCATGACCGTGAAATTGATCGCGATATTCAAGTATATACAAAAAAACGAAATAAAACGAACGAAGGAAAGTGTTTTACTGTCCTTCAGTTAATATTTTACGACCAATACAGGAAAAAAATACAGGTGGGGGAGGGAATTGCAACGACCTACAATCTGTACAATCTGAAATTTTGACTAAACACCTATATATTTGACTCAATAATTAATTACTAATGATTCAAATGCGCAAGGCATTCAATAGATTGAAAATGGCGGAAAGTAGAATCTGTAAGAAATATATGTTGCTTGTTTTTGKTTTACTCAAAGTCACCATAAAACTTTCAATTGAGCAGGCAACCGTGTAGTCTCGAGACTAAGAACGCCTGTGAGAGGCTAGCAACTGTGATGACGTATTTGTGTATTTTCAGTATAACAGCCTCAAATATCCCTACCAATCAAAATGCGGCAGCAAAAAGCTAGAGACGTCCAAGGTATACACTCGTAGCACATGCATACTGGAATGCAGCACACGAAAAATTATCAAAAAGTGTGGCTGTAAACTGATGGGCATGGCGAACCTTACAGGTGAGATGATTTATGATGTGTGATATTATATTCAACAAATTGCATGAGGGAACCATATGATCTATGTACTGTTATTTTCAAGGAGTTGAAACAACTCCACTAATTGAGTTAAAGCTACTCTATCTGGTGGAGTATCATTTCGAGTTACATCTACTCTTAACGGCGAGTAGTTTTTAGTCCAGGGGGCCCGGGTTGTCAAAGCTCGATAACTCTTAATCCGGGGTTAACTCCATATGTTTTCTAAGAGTTAACCCAGGATTTGCGTCCAGGAGGTTTATATCAACTCAGAAAGAGATTCAACATTATTCTAAATGGGCTCAAAATTGCTCTTAGAAGAGGAATCAAAATTGCTCTTCCAGGTGCAGTTTATAAAACTAGCTAGAGTATAAATCTTCTCCAGAAAAGGCCGAGTTATTTGGTACCTTTTTTTAACTCGTTGGAGCTGTTGGCAACTCCTTGAAAATAACATTGTAATGTGTTGAGCACTATTAATGAGATCATGCATGATATCAATCATCAATGTTTTAGCCAATTTGTTTGATTTTTAAAGAGTTCGAGTTTATCGTATTGATAACTGTTTTAATTACGACATAACCAGAATTTAGCCAAATAAAATATTGCAACCCAGAGGAAATGATTTCATGTCAAGTCTACATGCCGAAAACAGATGTAGAGTCGAAACTGCTCAACGTATTGTCAACACTGACGTTTGGTGAGTACACACGAGGCTTCCTTTTTTAGCTTTCGTTGATCCGCCTCTTAAATTGAATTGTGGCCGTTTTTAATAAGCGCAAGCGCAAACACAAGGTTTGTTCAATTATTATATATTCGACAGGTTATCGCCTGCCCAACAATCCTCAAGAATGTGGCTGCCCTCGTCCATGTAAAGAAATAAAATACTCCACGCGAGTAAACGACGCCGACTTTCTTACCAGTGACGTGTTTCTCGAGGATGCAGTAGATTCCACACAAAACGAAAAAATGAATAGAAACTATATGAAAAAATATTTCGACAAGATAAGGTAAAGCAATAGTGCATGAGACGTAATGAGACTAATATGGGATGTACCATGGAATACTTGTGGGACTTATCGGTGTTGGCCTGATTTTTTCTACAGGCAAAATTTGCTTCATTTAAGTGTTTACTACGAGGACCTAAACACATACGTTACGAACGAAAGACCATCTTATGACATCAACCTGTTTGGCGGTAAGTTTTCCATCGTAATATAACTGCAGAAAAGCAAGCTGTAGTCTTAAAAGAATGACGATGAAGAAAAACGATTTCTTGCAATTCCTTGAAGAACGTTTTAAGGAAGAGCGCCCTACGGCTGTTGTACGGCCATTGGGGAAGACATGATGATGATGATGATGCTATCATTTGCATGGCTTGGTTCACTGGCATCGTCAGTGCACGAGAGGACATGGGGGGTTGTTAGTGAAGTGAGGAACAAAACTCACGACAGAAAATTACCCATTTCCACCTTGGTGGAAAAAGTTTACATTGAAAATCACGGTCGAGCCCAACTAACTATCATTGCAGATATCTACTTTAATGTAAAACAATAGTCATGTGTTTGTGATTAGTGTCAATAATCAATACCAAGAGTACCTTTCGGTCGTTTTAATGACACCCCTTAACACTAATGTCATAATTGACAATCAAAGTGAACATTTCATGTCTTTTTTCCCTAGCGGATGTTGGTGGCTATCTGGGTCTGTTCTTGGGATGTAGTATTCTTACTGTTTTTGAGTTCATCGATCTTGCTTTCGTTTGTTGTCTTGGAAGGCCGCGACAGGACAAGAAGAAACAGGAAAACCAAACCGCAAAAGAAAATGGCACATCTGCAAACAACAACCAGGGAGCATACGATGAAGAAATTAGAACTGGTTTATTTGAAACACACAATGCTGATTAAGCGATTGATGACACGAAATCCTGCAGAGCGTTCCTGGATCCTGGAATCGAAGCTTTTTGATTTCCGTTTCCATGAAATATTTCGAAAGGATTCTTAATTCCACCATATCTAATTCAAAATGCAAAACATCTTACTACCTTTATTATTATCATGATATCATTGTTATGGCAATAAACTATAAGCTTTTACGTCATCGACGTGACTTGCAATGCATTGCCAAAAAAAAATGTTTTGTCCCAAACTTATCATACAATGCATTGCATAGCGGTATTTGACAAAGCCTCAGATGTTAAAGTCACTAATAGTCCGTTTCCATTGGCTCGGCCCGGATCTCCGATTCCAAATTTTCTGGATTCTGCATGCGAGAGCCAATGTTTTGCCGGATTCTTGATTCCGTGATTCCTGATTCCTGATTCCGTGTTAGTGACTGATTGCAAAATATTTATTTCATGTAAACTTAGTTGAAATAGCATATATAAGCAGGGATTTGCTTATGATCAATGCTATTCCTGAAATTTTTTTGCACTTATTTCACGATGAGTTTTTTTTTATAGTATAGTTATGACAGGAACACTTAAAATGTATAAATTACATTGAAGTACAGGACATACAACACGCACCACGAGTACAGTGTAACCAATTCGAAAAAGTATCGAAAGTTACTGTTGGTACAAAAGGTTCGATATCATCATCATCAACAACAGCCTGATATCAAGCGTCTTGTTTTGATGCCTACAGCACGACTACAGCCACATCATAACGGTATGGGCTTCCTGTGTTATCCTGGTTTGAAGCCCTGGAAGCCCTCAGTACCAAAGACACTTTGCGGTGCTTTAACAATTTGGTTTCTAAGTATTTACAAAGTAAATATATATATATAAAAAAACATTTATGCTATGCAATAAACTCCGACCACTAATCACAGCAAATTGAGTGATTTGAATTTAATTCATGCGCGCTGCTTTTGCAAAGTTATTTGCGTCGAATTTTTGCGCAGCGTCCATGAAAACTCCTTGACGGTGATAGACAGACTCACAATGCATTTCGCTCTTCGAATACATTATTTTTAGTATTCAGAGTTTTCTGAATTATCCGTATACGCTGCAAAGAACTGGGAGCATCAAGATTTGCCTGCATTGCGTTGCCTATAAATACACACCAGGCGGCGATTCTCAGGGGCCAAGGAACCTATTGTGATGGTTGATCGTT